CAAATAATGTTCTTTTGAACTTAGTTGATTAAAGTATGTTCGCTTACAGTTTCTGCAAAAATATTAATATTCATTCTCTGTCTTTACACTGAAAAATGCTTCAAAAAGGATTCCTTAGATTAACAATTTCTTTTTATGTTAAGTGGTTATAAACACGTGCATTTAAACAAAGTTGAACATTACTAAATTTAATTGGTTTTAATTCAACCCATACTAATTGTTTGCAACAATTTTGCAGAAATCATTTTTTCAGTGTATATAAATGACATATTTTTAATAATGTAACATTAGATCATTATAAATGATATATAGTACAATTTCTATACACTGTAAAATCAAAAAAGTTAAGGTAACTCAAACCATTTAAAGAATCCGTTGCAACAAACCATTTAAGTTCAAAAGCTAATCCTATTGAGTACAGTGAACTTAATCCATTTGAGTAAACAAAGCAATTTGAACACAGTAAAACCCATCAAATGAAGAGAACTCAAACAAACTGATTACTGTAACATCCAATCAGTTAAGGCAACCCAAACCGTTTGAGGAAACCAATTGCCACAAACCATTTGAGTTCAAAACTAATCTAAATGAGTACTGTGAACTTTTTGAGTTAACTATACTCATTTCATTTGATAAAGTTGATTGTTGGGTTTTACAGTGTAAGGTAAAAAAATCTAAGCTAATTGATATTTGTGGTTTATTTTTAGAGATTGTAATCCAAATTCTAATTTAAAAAGTATGCAAACATAAATTGCACATCTAATTATAAAAACAAATGATTATTTCTTCACTGATTCATTGCTAAAATGTAATTATTTGCACATTGAACTTTCATAATTAGTTTTTTTAATCTCTATATGCCTATACTTTTATATATGTTGAAGTTTTGCGTATAGTATCGACTGGAATAAACTTAATCATTCTGGAATTTATTATTTAATAACCAATATGAAAATGTTAAAATAAAGCCATTCAAATATTTAGTTTAACACACAAAGTTCTTAAAACAACATTGTGTTAATTCAGTAAAAATAGCATACCATTGTTAAGCCATTTAAAACATCATATTTGAAAGTATATTAGAATAGATTCTGCATTCAAATTTTTCATTAAATTATTTTCCTTCGGTTTAGTCTCTATTTCAGAGGTCGCCACAGCATATGTTTTTTTTTTTTGCAGCGGATGCCCTTCCAGCTGCAACCCAGTACTGGGAAACACCCATACACACTCACATTGAAATTAATAATTTGTTTTATAGTATGCTAGTTTGAAATAAATACAAACCATGGATACCTCCATCTACTCCAATCTTTTGATTGATAGTAACTTTTGATTAAAAAAAGATTATTATCACAATTCAATTTACACCTCATGGTGTCCCAATAAAGTTCCAAGCCATTTTTAATTCAGTGTTAATTTGGACCTTGTTCATATGTACAAATATGTCAAATCAACTATTCGTCTATCTTAAACCTTCTATTTATATAATTCTACAATGAAACAAAACACAATTTTGAATTCTACTTAGCTACCAGGACTCAAACTAGTGCAAAAGAAATGCATCAAGAGTAATTTGGCCCTGCTAGTGAGCAGTGAAGTGGACAGTGGCCTTCAGAGGAGTGAGGATGAAGGACAGCCGCTCTCCGTCTCTCTGTCTCTCTCTGTGGGGTCATGAACACATAAAAGCTGCTTCATGGCAGGAGGACGGAAGACAAGAATAAGCCCCTGACCGCTGATCAAAAGCCCTACGCAGTTTGTTTTTCAGGTGGAACGCTGGAGATGAAATGTGATGTTTTTTGGCCCGTGGAGAGTCTGATGAGACGGAGCGAAGAGGGTCAAGGTGTGTATGTTGGGGTTTGTGATGGAACTCGATTGGAGAAATGAGGGAGATGGGGATGGGTTTTTTCAGGAGAAGAAACACCCACAATATGACAGCTGCAGATAAGAGAACAATGCTATAAACTCATTACATCAAAAAGCAACATCACACTGGTTCAGTCACAGACGTATGAATGTCACTTTTACGGGTGTTGTCATGTGAAATGCAAGCAATTTGTTAATTAGGGCTACCTTTATGCAAAAGAGCCACTGCCCAACAGTTGTTTGAACAGGAAAAACAATATGTGCAAACACATTAGTCTAGACCAGGGGTGCCCAAACTTTGTCTTATGAAGGGCCAAAAACCAAACTTGATTGTGTGTGGTGGGGTAAATATACCAAACTCTATTCCATTAAATTTGCCATGGGTAATTTCCTAATTTATTTAATATGTAAACTAACTAGAAAACATTGCTTTATTTTATTTTATCTAACACAGTTTATATATTTTTTAATATTATAACGAACTTATTACAGTTAAAAACAATCTCATTTATAACAGAATGAGGTTACACTTGGCAAGCTGCTCCTGTTTTTGCCTTGATTTGCATGCTGATGTCTTCTGCATTTTCCTCTATCCGTCAAGTGACAGTATTTTTGTATTTCTACAAAAAATCTAATTCATTTACAAACCTGTAATTGAATCATTTGATTTCAGTTTGCTTTTCTTAGCAATAAAACAAACCAACGTTACGTTAAGTTAGAAATTATTATCTTAGTTAAAGGCATTCGCTCCGACCCTTCCCATCATTCTCACTCTCTTCTCAGAGGGGATGGTGGGCCAAATTAAAGCTTACCATGGGCCAACTGTGACCCGCATGCCCTAGTTTGGGCATCTTTGGTCTAGACAGTTGTTCACATAATAAAGGGATAGTTCACGCAGAAATAAAAAACTCCTCATTGTTTACATGCACTTTAGTGTTTTAAAACTTTCTCTGAATTTCTTTCGTCAGTTGAAAAAAAAAAAAAAACACCCAAGATATTCTGTAGAATGTTGGAGAAAAACAGCCATAAATGCATCCATAGTAGGAATAATCAATACTAAATTATCACTGTGTTTATTCAGTACAAATAGTGTACCTTTATTAAACCCTCCAAAATGACATTTAAAATATATATTTAAAACTTTTATTATTTATTAAATTATAGTCTGTATTTTTTGTATTTTTTTTAATAGATGCAGCTTTGATTGGCACTAACCATTAATAATCCCACCTACCCAAAACGTTTCAATTTAACTCATCCACATATTCAGCAACACCAAAGCTTCAAAAATACCAATTTATTGAATTAAAAAGGCTAGCACAAAGTGTGGAATGTTTCAAGGTGTGCTTGAAACATTACTCACTTTATGTTAGCCTTTTAAATTGAATACATTTTTGGAGCTTTGGTGTTGCTGCCTTATTTATTTTTGCACTTTTGGGTGTATCGCTGCACTGTAAACAATTATATGAACCATTTGTCATGACAGCATATGTTTTTAATTCATTGTAACTTATTTATCTAAGCTAATCATGTTCTAACTTAATTTTATAAGTCATACAAGCTGTTTTAAGTCAGTTTAACATAACTTCAATGGACTCATAAGGATTTGATTTAGCTTAAAAATTTAAGGCAACCAGGATTTTTTTTTTTTGTGTGAGCACCCATTTAGAGTGGTGTGCGTGCTTTTGTGCATTTTCAGTGATAGTAACATTTAGTAAATTACATAAATAAATAATAAAAAACTAATTTGAAGTTATTGGCTGTTTTTCCAACATTATTCAGTAAATCTGCCTTAGTGTTCAACAGAAGATTTGGAATATGCTTAGATTGAGTAATTGAGAATTTACATTTTTGAGTGAATTATCCCTTTAGGGGAAATTAGAGCCTTGTCTTTACATAATTGCCTAGATCTATCTAGCTTTTATCAGGATATAAATATTTTCTAGCATCGGCTTACTTATTTATTTATTTCATCTATTTATTAATGTGTTTGGCAGGCAATTGAACAACACTGTGTTCTTTATGGGTAGGTTCGTTTGTTTATGTGCATTATCAGAAAAAAAACTGCTTTGTCTGCTGTTTGTACAGTGGAATATTTTTCATTTGAAGAACTTTTTTTGTTGTTCTTAATGTACTAAATGTACTTTTACTGCTGGGTGGTATGACATCCATGACTGTTGGAGATTCTGCTTTTCTGTTTGTTGTCAGTGTGGCTGTCATTGCACATTTTTATGTTTATTTACAGTTGATAGTGACTAAGAAACAGCATTTAAAATGAAACATCTTCAACAAATCTAGAGGAATATTGTTAGTTTATAATTAAGTTCAAAATATATTTTGTTGAACTTCTGTTGAGCTATTTTGAAAAATATTGGTGACCAGAAAGTTAGCTGCAATTATTTACTTTTTCCCCTGCTGTACTATGGAAGTCCATGTGTACTGTGAACTGTTTGGTTGGCAACATTCTTCAAAACATCTTCTTTTGCGTTCGATAGAAGAAACAATCTCATATAGATTTGGATAAACATAAGGGCAAGTAATGTTGACTTTGGGTAAACCCTTTATAGTTTGTCTGTTATGCTAAGAAAACAATGATTATGGTTGCTGAGTAACACTGCAGCATTGCAGTATTATAAAATGATTTGTGCAAATCCAGTTTTACAACTTTAAATGTGACAATTATCTTTTTAATAATTTATAATTGTTATACTTTTATTTGCAGCCACTTAGTTTCAATTAATAAATATAATATAAAAATGAGATTATTATTATTATAATTTATCATTAGATCATCTGATATAGCATGTGGTTATTATCAGTGGCATTATCCAGTAGTTAGTATTCGTAATTAATTATTACAACGTAATTAATATTTACATTCATATGTAATCTTAATTTACATTCTTTATCTTTTGATTTTAATTGAAATATCTGCCTAAATCAGAAGTTATAAGTTCAAGAGTCCGTCATACCACCCATTTATGCGGTTATATTTTTCAGTGTCCAGCATGAAGAGGGATTTTAAGACTGATGTGGAATTCCATCTGTTCTCTGGCACCTGGAAAATCTCTATAGTTATTGTATTGAATCGTGTGCCACTATTGTGTTTATGACAGAGGTTTATGATCGACTCTCACCTCCTTCGATGGGACTCTGGAGCCCTTTCTTCGTGTCCACCAGGTCTCCACTGTGGCAATGAGACAGGACAAAACCACACCGGCCGCTAGTACAAAGAAGACTCCTGCAAAACTGTGGATGTCCAGGGCGCTGCCACTTTTCCGAGTGCCCACAGGAGAGTACAGGTCACACGGACTGTCCCTCGGCCACCACTTTAGCTTCAGGATGTCCATGTCTCCATTCTGCTGAAGCTCCAAGATCCTGCACACAGCAACAAAATACATACATGTAGGATTCTGGAGTTGGAGATGCTTTTCAGACTGTCTGTCACAACATTTATCCTGGATTAAAAACAAAAAAGAATTCAAAGCAGCATATTTTAGGTAAAAACTGATCCTTAAGAGGATTTTGACTGGATATGGGATCTAAACTGGATTTCTGATACTGTGTGTAAATATTTTTGACATTTGGAACTTAACAAAAGCAGTTACATTATGTAAGTAATGAAGAAATAGTTTTGTTTCTGATTATTAAATATTATAAAATAATTCCTAATCAGAGAATTAAAGACGTCAGCAAACTTTCAGGGCTGCATCAACTGTTCTTAGCGAGGCTCTAATAAATAATATATGATGTATTGTACTAATATAAAAATATATTCTTTAATTGAAAAAAAAGATTGGTGTAAATGTTCAAACATGTATTTTAATGATTTTAAAACACTAACTTGATTTTAAATAAAATAATGATTTTAAAACGCCACACTACCTGACAAAAGTCTTGTCGCTTTTCCAAGTTTTAGGAACAACAAATAATAACATGACTTCTAGTTGATCAGTTGGTATCAGAAGTGGCTTATATGAAAAGCAAAGACCTCTAGGTTACACTTATTTTAGCAAAATAAAATATGATTATGCCTTTATTTTTAATTATTTAATTAGGACAGTAAGCTTTGACTTTGCTTAGACAAAAGTATTGTCACTTAACAGAAATAATGTACAAAATAGCATATAAAGTCATGGTGCTGTGAAAAAGGAAATAATACTGTGTATGACTCCCATGAGCTTGGACAACTGCATCCATACATCTCTGCAATGACTCAAATAACTTATTAATAAAGTCATCTGGAATGGCAAAGAAAGCGTTCTTGCAGGACTACCAGAGTTCATCAAGATTCTTTTGATTCATTTTCAATGCCTCCTCCTTCACCTTACCCCAGATATGCTCAATAATGTTCATGTCTGGTGACTGGGCTGGCCAGTCCTGGAGCACCTTGACCTTTTTTTGCTTTTAGGAACTTTGATGTGGAAGCTGAAGCATAAGGAGCGCTATCCTGCTAAAGAATTTGCCCTCTCCTCGTTTGTAATGTGATGGGCAGCACAAAATGTCTTGATACCTCAGGCTGTTGATGTTGCCATCCACTCTGCAGATCTCTCTCATGTCCCCATACTGAATGTAACCCCAAACCATGATTTTTCCTTCACCAAACTTGACTGATTTCAATGAAAATCTTGGTTCAATGCTGGGTCTTCTGCAGTATTTGTGATGATTGAGATGCAGTTCAACAGATGACTCATCAGAAAAATCTACATTTTGACATCTCTAAATGATCTACTAAGTTGTTATTTGTTGCTCTCACAACGTTTGTCAGATAGTGTACTTGTAAACATTACAAATGTAAAACAAAAAGACATTTAAGGACAAATTCTAATTCCAGATTTTATTTATTTATTTATTTATTCATTCATTCAAGTCCTATCTGTAATGCTTTTTTTTTGTATGAAGATGATAATTTCAGTTTAGGTGCATAGCATCTCTAATTTTAGTTAATGAAGACAGACTGCAAGTCCCTTTTTAGTTGAATTATAATTTCACTTTATTGGTGTGCAGAATAGTGTGCTTAGCAGTGATATGACACATCAGATTTTAAATTGACCTAATAGGTAGAAAATATAAGATATAATACATATATAATATGTATGTGTAATACATATGTATAAGAATAGCATCAGCACCAAAACTGAGCCCGAATGAAATTCTTGCCACGACTAACAGAAAAAGTTCCATATCTTTATGAAAGATTTTTTAAATACAAATTTGAAACAGTGCTTCTAATTCAAACTTGACAAGATAAGACAATCCAATTGTCCACAAAAATGAAAGCAGAGCTCAAATCCAGAAGCACTAAAAAGAATGGAAAAAAGTAATTAAATAGAAAAATCGATTATACCCTACCATCTAAATCAGAAGTACTTTTCTACAAAATAACAGGAGACAGAAAACATCCCTTAACAGAAAAATCATCTATTTGCTCAGAAATAGCTTCCCTGCTTCAAGTCTGCTAAAGTAAGACAAATATCAAGCTTCATTAGATAACTGAAGTGCTGCACTCCACGCCTGGACATTTACTACTGGCCTAAATATATGCACGATTATGCACAATTTTATTGTGTGTCGCATTACAGAAATGGACTGTGTTATGGATGGAAATTTAATATCAGCCTGTTTCATTCTTACACATTAATTGAGCCACTGAGATCTGTGTAACACCCTATAAATAACTCCGAACGGTCCCAGTCTGTTCAGTGGAATCTGTTGCTGCAGAGATATGTGCCGATTGCCAGCACCAGGGGGCAGTGTCTACTCAGCAATAGCAAGAACAGCAGGCTCCATGATGAAGAATTGCTGTTCTGATGTACCGATGCCAGTCCAGCGGCTGCAAATGAATGATAATGAATACAGGACACAAAGGTTTAGGAGAATTTGCCTCATTGATTGGCTGATCTGTATTGCGTGGCTGTCTCTCTCTCCAGCCTGATTGTCTGCAGTCAGGAATCACTGCACAGTTTGGCCTCAGAGGAAAAGACAAGCGAGCTTCCAAGAGCCTGTATTCACATTCAAACTGCAGCTGTTGCAAACACTAACTGGCGATGTTCAGCGTACACACTAACACCGTCGAAACATTCAACATTTGTTCAAAGAGCTACCCTTCATTTTTACATCCCTATCGCTGTCTCGTAACAATGCCATGCAGGTGTAAAGAGTGTCCTGTTGGGTTTTAGCAGATGGAGAATGACCCATCCGCATTCTGCTATGGTTACAGCACACAAGACTCGCAACAAGGTGGGCCAATGTTGAGAGATACGCATTACAGATCGATTTTTAAGCGCGCCAACGACATTTAGCCATGCAACGCTGGCTACATATGCTGCTTTAGAGGATTCAGAGACCTGAAACCACAACGAGGACAATTCAAGAGAACGGTGCAAGATGTGCCCAGGGAGCCGTAATCCGCTGTCATTATGATGCCAAGTACTGTGACTAAGAAAGCAAAGATGTAATCGATGTCCCACTGATCTTTACAGCGCATATTGTTACAAATGAAGGGATTAGTTCACTCCAAATTGAACATTCTGTCATTATTTGCTCTCTCTCATGTCACTGTAAACAAACAACCCCGGCTCTTGAAAAATATGGTTCTTGTGGCAGCATTTCAACAGAAATTAGTTGCTTCTTGTGTGTTGGGCGGCTGTTTTAAATTTCCCATAACGTGTTGTGACTGTGAAAAGTCATAGATATGGGCATAAAGTCAAATCAAAAAGGACTTTGACACTTGGATATAATTTTTGATAATATTATACGTGGATGCAGGACACTATGCTACATTTATGTGAGGATAGCAGAATAAAGGTTAATGCTGCAAGCAGTGAAGAAAGTGACCTCACACCCAGGCTCACCGCTGCCTGGTGGCCTTAGTATGACAGAACAGCGGACAACAATAATTTAAGCTGATAAATATAAAAAACCTGAGAAAAATCACAGATTTTTGCCAAACTTTCATCTGTCAGCAGGTGGCGCTATGAATTACTCATTATCGGATTGTAGTTGTCTTCAGAAGAGGAATCTCATGGAAAATGTGAATAGTCATGCAGATCAGACATTGTGTGGCTGAGTTAAAACAACTTCCTGTTTCGTGGCAAAACATCAAAGTTTGTGAGGCCGCCACAGACACGCCCTTTAACAAAAACTGTAGATCATCGCAATTTAACATTGCCAAGGCCTTGAGATCACAATACCCAATTTTGGTGTTGATCTGATAAAATCTCTAGGAGGAGTTCATTAAAATATAAAAATGTCACTTTTTTGGCAGAAGAAGTAAAAAATATCTGACCCCCTGTTGGTTTGAGATTTCGCTCCAAGGCTGCATTTACACAGCATGCTTCAAGTGAGCCAATTCAGATTTTTTTCTTTTGTGTCGCACAGATCGGATTCAGGTCATGTCCATGTAAGCAGGAAACAAATCACATGGATTCTGATTTACTTGAATCAGATTCAGGTCTTGTTCATATGTGGAAATTTATCCGATATAAATTGGATCCATGGCCTCATGTCTGCAGTGTAAGCAAGTAAATCAAATTTTCCCCTGTCAATGCGAGTCGCACGTGATTAAAAACTGTAGCGAATGATGTCAACACTGATGCTTTCATTTCAGAACAGACTTTAGCAGAGTCCCAAACCTTACATTTCATATACTAGAACAACAAAAGAAAGCTTTTATATTGTCATATAGCACAAGTATTCAAACATGCTAGCGAGCGAGAGAGAGCGAAAGAGAGAGAGTGCAACATCTGCCACGTAAACGATATATAATGGCCAAATGAGAATTTTTCTGGAATGTATGAATCATGAGGGGGGGTTTCTTCACACCTCCACCAGTGTGCAGCATCCACTTGGATGATACGACGGCAGCCACAGGACAACGACGCCAGTGCGCTCACTACACACCAGCTATTGGTGGAGTGGAGAGACAGTGATAGAGCCAATTTGGTGGATGGGGATGATTAAGGGACTTTGGCCAGGACACTGGGGTTACACCCCTACTCTTTACGAGACGTGCCATGTGATTTTTAATGACCACAGAGAGTCAGGATGTCTCATCAGTTAACGTCTCATCCGGCGCTCACTGACAGTATAGTGCCCCCTTCACTTTTACTGAGGCATTAGGAATCACACAGACCACAGGTTGAGCGCCCCCTGCTGGCTTCACTAACATTAGTTTAAACAGCAACCAAGTTTTCCCATGTGATCTCCCATCCAGGTACTGACCAGGCTCAGCCCTGCTTAGCTTCAGTGAGTAAGCGGTCTTGGGCTGCATGGTGATATGGCAGTGGCTGTCTGACATAAACTATAGTAAAACAACTTGTCAAAAAGATTTAAAAAATGAAACCCTGCAAACAGATTAAATACAGGAATGGAGGAAA